GCCTATTTTTATCTTTTGTAGCTAAATGTGTTTCCTGGAGACAGCAAAAGGTTGGGTTTTGTTTCTTAATCCAGGCTGCAACTCTGTGTCTTTTTATTGAAGAGTTTAGTCCATTTACATTTAGAGTTAATATTGATATGTTAGCATCTGTATTTGCCATTATGTTTGTCTTTCCTTTGATTTTATTTATTCTTTTAATAACTTTTTTTTTTTTTTTGGTCTTCTTTCGTTGTTATTCGTCCCTCTGAGGTTCTGGCTTTAGGATTCCTTGTAGTATTTTTTGGAGAGGGGGGTTTATTCAAATGAAATTCCGGAGTTTCTCTTTGTCTGGGAAGGTCCATATTCTTTCTTCATGGAGGAAAGAGAGCTTTGCGGGATAGAGTATTCTTGGTTGGCATCTGTTTTCTTGGAGTCTGTTGACTATGTCCCTCCACTCTCTCCTTGCCCGCAGTGTTTCTTCAGAGAAGTCTGATGTCAGCCTGATGGTTTTCCTTTGAATGTTATCTGTTTTCCCTCTTGTCAGCTTCATTATTTTTTCCTTGTCCTGGATTCTTGGGAGCTTTACTATTATGTGTCTTGCTGTGTTTTTCCTTTCGTCGTGGAAGTTTGGTGTTCTTCTTGCTTCTTGTATATCAATTTTCAGCTCCTTCTTCGCATTTGGGAAGTTCTCTTCAATTATCTCCTGGAATATTTTCTCTGTTCCTACATCTCTCTCCTCTCCTTCTGGAATTCCTATAACTCTTATATTTCCTTTCCTCATGGAGTCAGATAGTTCCCGAAGTCTTTCTTCATTCTTTTTCCTTCGTACTTCTCTTTCCTTTCTGTTTTTGGTTCTTTTATTTCTGTGTCTTCAAGAGAACTTATTCGTTCTTCCATTTCATCTATTCTGCTTTCCTTGCTTTTCCCGGAGTTCTTTAGTTCCTCCATTAATTCTTTGATCTCCTGCATTTCTTTTACTTCCCTCTTTAGGGACTCAATTTCATTCTTCTGACCATTGTTTCCCTCTTTAGGACTCAATTTCCTTCTTCTGATCTATCACTTTTTTAATCATGGCAATTTTAAATTCTCTTTCTGGAAGGCTCAGAAGTTCTTCCAAGTTGCTGTCGTTGCAATCTGGGGAGTGGTTTTCTTTTTGTGGTGTGCTTCTTTCCTGAGGAGTTGTTAGGTTGCGTGTGGTTCTTCTACTCCCTACTGTCTGTTTTCTAATTTGTCGTATGCGTTGGGACACTGTGATGCTCGGACTGACTGGCATCTTGGGTGAACTTCTCCGCTCCCCTCTGGCTCTTCCAGGAGCCATCTCTGCCTTCTGGGGGAGCTTTCTGCTGGTTTTAGGCAGTTTTTACTGAAGAAATGTCCCTGTTCTCAAATGGCGAAGCAGGATGCAGTCCCTGCGCCTCCGGTTTCAGGCACACTCTTCTGCGCCCCCGGTCTGCCCCGGACGTGGGTGCCTGCTCCCTCTGTGGGCTCAGACTGCTGGTCGGAAGGGCCTGGCGTGGAATAACTTCCCGGCTGGCCACTGCAGAAGCCTTCTGCCCTTTTCAAGCAGTCTTAAGAAATTTCCTGTTCTATGGGGTGTTAGTGACTTTTTTTTTCCTGGTCACTAGGTGGCGCCAGAGATCTCTCCTATTGTCCTTGGGGGGCTGTTTTTCGTCCCCCCCACCCCGTGGGACAGGGAACAGAGCGGGAATGGTAGGGTACACCTCAACAGCTTTGGGGTGCTGTGTCTGCCTTGTGCCCCACCGTCGTGGAGAACCCACGCCCCGAATTTTCATGCCTCGGGTCTCAGTTCAAAGCCCTCAGGTCCAGGACGCGGGCTGTAGCCCAGTTCAGTGGCGCGGGAATGGCGCCTTTTGCACCGCTCCCGTGCCTGGGCGCCTGGTTCCTGCTCACTCAGGGAGGGACCTTCACCTCAGTGAGGACCTCCGCGCGTCTCCCCGCAAGCCTAGGTCGCAGGTGCGGGTACCTGGGCAGCCGCGATTCTGGTCTGCACTTGCTTTTCAAGCTCCCCAAGCACGCCGCGTTTCCGCGCCAGCTTACCGGCAGCCCGGGCTGTGTGCGCGTCTCCCGGGGTCTTTGTTCTTCTCTAATGGCGCCCGGAGCCGTTTGCTCGCCGCGGCGAATCCTGCAGGGTTCGCCTCAGCTCCCGTTCACGGGGTGTGGTGGCTGCAATAGTTCCTTTCCACTCACGGTCCCGCTTGCTGCGTCGTTTGTTCTTGTTGGCCGTTTTGGTTTGTTGTTTCCTCCTCTCTGCGGTCGGAGAGTGCCGCCTCTGTGGGCGGGGGAGGGGAGCAGGGTTCTGCGCTTCCCTCCCTTCTGGTCCTCTTTTATGGCCACTTTCTTCTTCGGGCAGTTTGCTGGCGTCACCCGTTTATCTTCCGTGTCCCAGTTCTCTCTGGGACCTGCCGCTTTTCCTCCCTATTCACTTTTTTTAATGGGAGATCTTACTCGCAGCGTCTCCTCGTCGCCATGTTGCTCCGCCCCCCTATTTTACATTGTTTTTAAATAAACGTTTTCTGTTCTCAACTGGGTTGACATTCTTCCTTCTTCCTTCAACTGCCTTCAAACAGTTTTTCAGAAGGAAGGAATAAAATATCCTGGTTTTTCCTTCTTTGATACTGAGTGCAAGGGAATGAACTGTGACCCCCCCATCAGATGTTGAAGCCCTAACACCCCTCAGTGATAGTGTGATAGTATTTTAAGATTTGGTCTTTGGAAGATAAAAAGTTTATATGGGATTACAAAGGTGGGAGCCTCATACTGTGATTAGTGAATTTACCACTGAATTTATGTGTTTTAAAAAGGATGTAGAGAAAAAATTATTATTTATAAAATTTATAAACGTAGGCCCTACTATGAGATATTGCCACAGGTTCCAGATTCATACTCTGTAAACATCTAATGCATAGGAATAAGTCTTGAAATATAGATAGACAGGGAGAGAGAGAGAGAGAGAGAGAGAGAGAGAGAGAGAGAGAGAGAGAGAGGCTTTCATCCAGGTCAGCTAGGTTTTAAAAGTTATCTTTTAATTTTTAACTACCATTTAATGTGTTCTGTGCCCAGAAGTCTTTTCTTGCATAGTTTTCAGCATATTCTCAAAGACACACACAGCTGTATTTTTTTCAGCTATGTTTTTTTATTCAAAATAATAAACAGCGAATTTGAGTTTCATGGGTAAAAATATTTATCCTAATAAATGAGATGATTTTCCTCACTGATTAGAAAACATAAATATGAAAATTGGCACTGCTCTGCTAGAAAATAGCAAAATCTTCATTCATCTAACAAAATATAGTGAGCACTTCCTATGTGCCAGGCATTATTCTGGATCCAAGGGACTTAGCAGTGAATAAATCAGTGAAGACTATCTGCCTTCACAGAGATTATATTACAGCAAAAGGAGGCAGACAAAACAAAGTAAGTAAAATAGGCAATATGTCCCGTGGTTTAAAGTGTTAGAGACTGAATAAAGTGGGAGAGGTAGGTGGGACTGGGAGGTGTGTCGCTATTATGATAAGTTGATGAAGATGGTCTCAATGATAAAGAGCAATTTGGGCAAAGCTTGGAAGTGGAGGAGTGATTGATGCCTGTGACAGCTAAGGGAGAGGACTTTCCAGGTAAATAGAAGAACATGTACAATTTGCATGAATTCAACTTGCCAGGTTTGAAGTGCTTGTTAGAAATCTAGATGGAAATGTTTATTAAAAAACTGAAAATGAGCTGGAGTTTGGGAAAATACCAGTTTAAGAAATACATTGGATGTTTCAGCATATGAGTGATGTTTTAACTTATAAACTGTATAAAATTACCAAGGGAATGAGTATAATTGCAGAGGAATTTCAAAAATTGATCTTTTTTCTTAAATAATAATATTTTACTTATTCTAAAAAAAAATTGAGCAATTTTAATTTCAGAGTCTAATAAGTTATTATACAACCTAGAGAAAATTATAAGACCTACGTTCTCCCACAATTTGTTATGTTTTGTTATTAAATATACCTCAGTGACTGTTTCAGACATTCAGCAAAGCTATAACTTACTAAACAGCTATAAAAATGATGTAGGAAAAGTTTTGCTGTGCAAATTTTCAGACTGCAGCCTTAAAATTAACTAAAAAATTAATATTACTAAAAAATGTGTTCAATATTTCTCACCCAAGACACAAAATCAGGACCACACATTATTCCAAAAAAAATCAGTATTTTTCACATTTCATTAGTGACCACAAACCTTGAGATAGATCTGCTCTTACTTTTCTTATTTCACGTCCTTAAGACTCTGTTGTCATATTCACAAATATTAATGATTTGGGTGAATATCGGTTAGAATATTAAAAGTATGTTTCATAAGCCTCCATTTGATGCTTAAATTCCTTCTACAATAATCCAAGCAAATAAAAGCTGGTAAAGTTGTAGTTGGATAAAGGAAATTTTATGCAAGAATACCTGAAGAATCTGAGGAGTTTTTAAAAATTTCTTCTAAAATCAATCAAAGTCTTTCTCTACAAAAAAATGAGTTCTCTTAATGACAGCCTGAAGCTCAAGAAAATGAGTAACAAGTTAGAAAGAGGGAGAACAACAAAATAGTTTCTTTGAATCAATAGCCCCCTAGGTCTTCAAGTACTCAACCAAGTTCCAAAGAGTTTCCCACTCACACTTAAGGGAATTTAAAGAATCATCTAGATTTCTTTTGAAGAATTATGTATTTTTCAAAACAACAACTAAACTTAAAGAAAGTTTTTTAAATTGCAAGAATTTATCCTTAAAATTTCCTAAACCTTCAATATTCACACACATTTTAAAAAATCCAGTCTCTCAAATGCAAATAAAAAATGAAAATTAGTTATTAGTAATTGTTTCTGAAATCTTTTTCTTTGCCACAGTATTTGAAATGAAAGATACCAGAAATGACTGTTCAATACTAGATGTTTGATTTTACATTTGAAATAACTTAAAAATATTGAAAAGCACTCAATTGCTACCAACATAGGCCATGAAACTCACCCTTTCCCCTCAGAAGTCGCCTGGAACAGATCTTGATCGATTGTAAACTGGGCGATAAATGTGAGTCCAAAATTCTGTTTCCAAAATATAAAGTTAGAGCTTTGAATGATTTAATAGCCCCCATTTTGTAACACAAACTTTCAAGGCTAATGAAATAGGATTAACTGCTAATCACAGCACTTGTTTTCTATCAACAGAGACTACAATTATTATGTGCTTAGTGCTCTAGGGAATAATGATACATAGTAGGCCCTCTATAAATATTTGCAATTGAATGAAAACAAAATACCAAATTTGTTGGCTCAGGGCACAGGTAAGTAGTATGTTTTCCTATCATGTCTCAAGGAACTTGACTTCAGCCAAGTCAACTGAATCAAAAACCAGGACCCATGGAAAAACTTTAAAAATGTAAATAGGCAAAAGGAAAAGATTGAAAATTATCCCTAATTCACCACCATAATATTTTAGCAACAAGTACAACCCCCTAAATGCTCACATGGTTCAGACACTATTCTGAGCCTCTTATGTATCTTACTGTATCTTACTCACAACCCTTTGGGTACCTACTAGTATTTATACCCATTTTATAATTTAATAAATTTAGACATTTAGGGTTTAAGTCATATATAGTTAAGATTATTCCAGACAGCTAAAAGTAAGTGGAGTCAGAATTTTCATTCAGGCAGTGGAACTTCAAGAACTAAGCTCCTTATTAGTTCTTTAGGCTGTCTCCACTTCATAATTAATATAAGTAATATATTCTATATATTTTTATGTTTATGTGTACACTTAAGTACATGAACTTTTTAGCTCATTTTTTCCAAATGCTGAACAGTTTCCTCTATATGTGAAATATAGAGAAAAAAGGTTCAGACAGAATCAAATTAATAGCAAATCCTAAAAGTCTCACTGCAGAATTGAGGCTACCAGCAGAGGAAGAGAATGATGGACAAGGCTGTGGAAGGGGCTCAATGGACTAAGGTAGAGGACTAGGTGTCTTAATGGTGAGTGTGATGCAGTAACATTTTGAAAGGTGTGATCCCATATTTCTTATTTATATGCAGAGTAATAAGGATTTTACTTGAATTTTACTTGCATGTCACTAAGAAGAGAGCCAAAAAATAGTGATCAGTCATAACTTGCTTTTCTCTATCTGGTCCATGGTTAAGTGCTATTTAAATATCTAAATTAAAACCATTAATAATATTTTAATGATTCCCTATTAATAAAAAATCCTGATGAAGTAAATTACAATTCATCCACTTAAGCAAAATGTTTTACAAATATTAAGGTAAAATGGCAGAGCTGTTTCAAGAAAAATGTAAAATATACCATGAGGGATTCTACCATGATTTTATATTGAATAATATGCTCATTCTATTATTAAATTGATCAGAATAGCCTACATGCAACATGCAACTTGTGAGGTAACACATAGGAAATTCCCACTGTGCATAAAACTAAGGGAAGAAGTTCAGGTTCTCGTGACCAAACTATAGAATATATATACAGATATGCAGCACCATGCCTTTAAATGTACCAATATCATCAACTAAGTTAGTGCTAATAAATAAGTGAATAATAAATTCATTTCTTTGATGGAAAATTAACATTTAGAGTGCACTCACATTTATCATTATTGTCACAAAAAGTGTGTTAATGAATGATAATTAATCTTTGAAGTTAGGACTCAAGGGTACAATGAAGAACTTCACTTCCTTACATTTAAATTTGAAAATGCAGAAGTATTCGATTTTGTTTTCCCTCTGCAAGCCAAACAGAGAAATTGGGGGGAAAGAAGAAACCATACATTTAAAAGATTTTATCATATTTCTTTATGCTTCATCCAAGGTTATTTATTTTATTGGGCCAATATTAATGATCTATCTGAAAACACTATGTGTCACTCTAAAAATTAGTATACTCCAAGGCATCTTCAAGGGAATTGTGAATGGTTCTCTCTATATAGAACTCCTCTCATAGGTGTCTGTTTGTCTTGAACAGAATCCATCCAAGAGTCTCCCAAAGAGTTAAGCAACTTAACGCCAATTCATCCTAGAGTTTGTAGCTGCATTGTTAGTAAGCCCTTACTTGATTTTTGATTGATGCTATTTTCCTTTCTGTTGCTTATATTCTCCTTGCTAAATGTCCTTATCTTTATGATGGAATAGATTTCAAATAAAGTTTTAGTCTAATAGCATTTTATTTGTCCAGTTAGGCACCAGTTTTCTAAAACCCTGAGTCACCATGTCCCTAAACACGTATTTGTCTTACCCTCCACATCCCATCACACTTTTAACACTAATGAAATGAAGCTAACTGCTAAGGTAGGAAACAAGTCACTGCCACGAGCTAGCTATAAATAAAGACAAGGCCACCCAGGTGGATTGAAGTTCAGTCTTTATGTGCCCTGGGCTGTCACTGCAAGTGCATGCACTTGCTCTTAATTTCAAAGGGTGTTGATATTCCTCATTAAGCAGGACATGTTTTCATTAAAAATGGGAAGTTAGAGTGTCAAGAGAACTTTATCTTCCACCAGACGCAGAAAAAACAATTCTTTGGGAAATATTCAACTCTACTAAGAAAGGCAAACTGAAAAATATTATGCCTGATCAGAGTTATTTTTAATGAATGCTCCACTTTGTCCCTAAGTCATTATTATTCTTCCTTGAATTATGGGCTCCATCTAAACATACTGAAAATGGTTAAGTTTTCAAATGAGTTCAGTTATCTTTTCCAGTCATTAAAAACTTACTGGAAATTCTAATCTACTTGGCTAAATTTATTTATCAACTACTCTCTCAAAATTGATCATTCTGCTAGACCAACCTGGGTCTTGGGTTAAATTAAGTAAAAGCAGAAAGGAAATTTTTAAACTGGTAAATTCCCAGTACAATCATTCCTTTTCCAATGGAATTAATATCTTCACTTATAATGAAAAAAAAAAAAAACCTCAGTATTGAAGCTGTAAACACATTCCATTCTTCCAAATTTGAGTATCATATTACATTTAAGCCAAGAAACTGGCTACTTCTGAGGATGAATCTTGTCCTGTTAAGCTCAGATCACAAGAAAAAAATGTTGAAAGACTTATGACTTTCTTTATAACATTCTTTATATCTATGGCAAGACTTTCTCAATTACTATTATTTTAACTGTGATTACCTCAAATGTCTGATCATGTTATATAATGAGTTAATGTAAAACAGGCCACTGAAAAATACATCTTAACAGAGCAGTATTTACAATCTGCAAGTATAAATGTTGCTATACAATGTGCTGAAGGGCCTTTAAAGGTTCTATCTGTAGCTTTGAGGCCAATAATCTTACACATAATTGTAAAGACATCTAGAAGATGATGATGCTAAAAATTGCAATAATTCAGGAAAGTAACTGACCCATCTCACAACATCTTTGGAAAGCATACGCAAAGCTCAAATTCCTGCCTTCAAACTAGGCTCTGTAGGATCAGCCTCACCTTCTGCTAGCAAAAGATTAAAGTTTAAATTATTGAATTAAAAAAGAAAAATTACAACTTAACTCTGCTCCATAATTGCTGCAGATGAGTTGTTAAAATTCCAAACTTATATAATATTATCATAAAATATGGCATTTTTCTCAAGAAAGCCACAAATTGGATTTGAGCTTATGCACTGTAAAACCCAGATGGTTTGCTTAACTACTCAGACATCCTTCAGTTCAAAAGTTAATTGAACTGAAAACTAAAATTTTGATAATTGATATACTTTGAGGGACTCAAACAGAAGGATAAATTAGCCTCATGCATGGAGTGTTAATAGGCTTGAGAAACCATTAAAAATTGGTCAGGAAATATGGGCAAAGTAGAAGTATATATTTTCTACAGGTTAACTACTTACACATTACCTGGGTTTCAAAAGATGGTGGTGCTTTCCTTTCTCCATTTTTTTACTCACTGCTTCAATATCAGTTAGTATTTCACCCAGTTTAACTTGTTCTGGAATTAAAAAAAAAAAAAAACCCTCTAATTGTATACCATAAGTTTTCAAGTTCTAAGTGTATTTTTCAAATTAAATTGCAAATCACAGATTTTTTAATAACAAGAGATACAATATTTTTCCAAAAAATTACTAACACAAAGATACTCTAAAAACACATTTGAGTGGTTTTTATCACCTCATGCTCCTTAGATGTTTTGCAATTACTAAAATTTAGGACTCAAAGTAAAGAGTAAATGAACTGCATATATCAGAAAAGAGATAGCTCCCAGAGAAATGTCTGCAACAGCACAGCACATACCAATGAATACAAACAGCCTCCGTTATATATATCAGCATTACTATCAGCATTATCGTCATGATGGTTACTGTGCATATGAGAACCTTCTATTTTAAAGTAATTTAGCAACCATTATTTAATGTAAGTAGGGACACTGAATGCTCCAGAAATCTCATCCATTTGCTAGCAAGTTCAGACTGAAGTCCAGAAACAGCAAGGTCCTACTTAAATAAAAAAAAAAAAAAATCAAGTTGGTAGAGTCTAAAGAGGAATTTACATAATTGTTTTAAGTGCCTATTACTTTCTATTTTGTACAACTAACATTGAGTTTAAAACATAACAAAATATGTAGTTATTTATCAATTAAGCATCTTCTAGTACTAGCTCAAATATATTAAAGATACTAAGCATCTTAAAGTTCCAGAGGACATATGAAACATTTTTAGAAAAATTTACAAATTATTTGGTTTCTCAATGCTCACAAATAGCTCAGGTGACAGCATTATGTAATTCAGAATTCAATTACATGACACAGACTATGAAAATTGGAGAAATGGAAGATGTTAATATTTATTATTTATAAAATACCAGATATGTTGGTTAGCATTCCCACAAACTACCTCACTTAAAGCTCAGAACAGTTTTTTGGGTTTTTTTGTGGGGGGGTTACTAGTATCCCTTTCGACACATCAAACATCCCTTTGAATTTATGTACACTCTTCATCACTCTGCTCTAGTATCCATCAGAAACTCATGGAGTCAAATGGCCAGCTCAGGGAAAGACGGGAATTTTTGCTTGCTTACTGTGGAAGGCAACTACAGGAATCAAAGACACACTGTGTTGGGTAGAAAAATAGTACATGAGAGTGAAGAAGTAGAGAAAGAATTTGTAAGTTTGAGTTTTAACAATGGAAACATTTAAAAAATATTTGCCATATGCTAGGTGTACTAATTGCTATATATATGGATGATCATATTTTATTTTCATAACCACCCAGCAAATTAGGCACTATTATCCCCATTTAACAGAATAAATTGAAGCAGAGAAACAATGATCCACTTTCCCAAGGATCTATAAGTAGGAGTAGGCAGAGCCAATTTTCTAAGCCATAGAGTCTGCATTCTTAATCACTATAATACTCAATATTCATGTTTGCTTATTGTATTTATTTAGGGAATCTCCACTTAGTGACCATTACTATGCTAACTACAATAGAGGTAAAATGTAGAATATGATGATTAATAAACAAGATTTCTATTCTGAATGGGCAGTATGACTAACAGTGAAATCACCACAGAAAATGAAAGAAAACAAGGATAGAAAGGAAAGCTCATCAGATGTGCAAAACAAAAATCTAGAAATTGAATTTGATAATGATGTTAAAGGAAGTAAAGTTTTCAAGAAAGAAAAATGATGGAAGTTAACCATAGTATTAAGACTAGAAGTTTGTATGGCAAATCCATTTTTAATCTTTCAAGGAACTTTCAGAGTATTTTTGATAGGGACTGAACCAGTCTACATTCTCACCAACAATGTAAGAGGGTTCCATTTTCTCTATATACTTGTCACTAGAATTTATTTTTTCTGGTCTTTTTCATGTGGGCCTTATAGGAGCGAGGTGGCATCTCATAGGTTTTGATTTGCATCTCCCCTATGATAAGTGATGATGAACAATTTTTCCATGTGCCTTTTGGCCATCTGCCTGTCTTCTTTGGAGAAATGTCCACCTAGCTCTTCTGTCCATTTTTTTAAAATCGTCCTTCTGTTTCCTTTTTATTGAGTTGTATGGGTTCCTTGTAGATCTTTGATATCAGCCTCTTGTCAGATGTACGGTTTGAAAATATTTTCTCCCATTCAGTAGATTGTCTTAAAATTAGTAAGAACTTCTCTCACTATGCAGAAGAAACCCCACCCCTAGCTATCTATCCAATGAATACAAAAACACTAATACGAAGGGAAACTTAGACTCCCGTGATCATTACAGCACAATTTACAATAGCCAAGCTATAGAACAAAGTGCCCAAAAACAGATGAGTGCATCTAGAAAATACAGTATATATGTACAATGAAATACTGCTCAGTGATCAAAGAAGATATGCCATTTGTGCCATCATGGATGGAGAGGGATTATGCTAAATGAAGTAAGAAGAAGAAAGACAAATACCAGGTGTGAAATATAGAGAGAACAAAACAAAGAATCAGGTAAAGCATACCTTCAAAACTCACCCCTGGAAGCTGAGTATAGTGCTGAGGAATCCAGAGGGGGAGAAAGGGAATGGGTGAGAATAAAGTGGGGGAGGAACACAAGGGAATATGGTGGTGGACTATGGGTGCTTTGGTGGTGGGGACGTGAACTAGAGAAAAGAAGGTCAGTAGGTTTTAGGTCACTATTGATAAGCAGCCAGTGAGTGGTGACACAAAGACCTTTCTTTTACTCAGTGTGTCATCTACTTCCATCACATTTCTTTTTAATGCTCATAATGCCAAACTGGACTAGTCAGATCCTGTACCACTTCGACACATCTCCTTTTGTTTGCTGTTGGTTTTTGGTTTGGTTTTTGTTTTAATTCAGGTTTACACTGATTTACAATACTTCTGGTTTGCAGAACCAGTAAACACTGGTTTACAATACTTTTGTGATTTAGGGAAATAGGTTAACACCTTCTCAGATGTATGTCACTATGCCACACCCACCAACACAGCACCCATAGTCACTAGCTTTCTTAACATCCTTTCTCTCACAGTAAGAGTTCTAGGCTTGAACTCTTCAGTTTGAGGAAGCTAGAGGACTACATATGGCACTCACATGAAGACACCAAGTGCCTTCATTCATGTGTTTGGTTGAATTCTTTTTAATTTATCAACTCATATATCATAGAAATGGGAATTAGTCTCAACTTGGGATTAAGACCAATTCTTCAAGAAATAATTCGTCTTTCCTTCAGGCAGCTGAGAGAACTTTCAACTCATAATAACATTAAACGAATTTTTCACTTTAGAGTTTTTTGAGATATGGTAATATCTGATTCAATCCCAGGTGGTTATGAATTATAAGAGGAAACTTCTTTTCTTCTCTCAGAGTCAAGTTTCTTTGTCATTTCCTTATAACAAAGCAATGCTTTTTTTATTTTATTGCTTTGGTCTCTATTGAAGGCATCACCTTTTTAAAGGGGCCTCATATTTGGAGGAGTATCTGGTCTGACTTCCCTCCTTGCACTGGTATTACCGATACCACTATGCATTGGTACTATCTGGTGCCTTGATCCTGCAAGGCCCAATAAAAACGAAAGCTCAAGACCACCAGATACACGTACATACTGCCAGAGACAGAATCTGACTCTGCTGTAAGATACCTCTTTAGATTTGTTCTTTGGGGTTTTTTTTGCCATTTTAGATTCTTCAAGTGCTCTATAAAAACTCTTGAATGCAGGAAAGCCTGTAATGCATTTCCCCACTCTGCTGGGCATTCACTTTTCAAGACTCATCTCACTAGATGCCATTTGTCATCTATCTTAACATTAAAACAATTTGCAATACTCATTTACTTGTCCCATCTCCTCCTGTAATCTCTGTGATGATATGAACTGGGACTTATCCCCCTTGAATGCTCAGTACACCTCATTATAATGCCCAATGCATTTATCAAACAGTTATTATGTGACTCAATAAATAAAATATTTAATACCTCTTATTGTAACATAGGATTTTTAATATCACATTGTTTGCTGGTGACATGGATTAATTTCTTTCAAATTTTTCTCAGATACGATAAATACTATAAACATTCTCCCTTCAATTGATTCCCATTTCCCACAATCTTCATAAAGAATCCCCATTTCTCTTCTCCTCCCCTCCAAAAAAAGGAGCCATTACTCAGTTGACTAAAAGCAGTCAAATTTAAACAGTTAAACTGGACCTGTCAATGGACTAATTTTCTAGAAGTTTACCTTAATAATTTAGAAACTGTATACCATAAATGTGAGTATGGATAAGAACTTTCTAGAAAATATTATAAACGGTATCTTATTTCACAAAATAGTTGAGTTAAAAGAGCACTACGGTCTCTTCTACACAGAAACTTCATGACACTATGGAAGTGCTTTGCATAGGTTAAATTCAAATCCTTTTCATTCAAAAAATGATATATTAGAATTCATATATTGAGTGATTTTAAAATACTTTTCTCACCTTTATCTTTTTTGAAGACCCACTATTTAAACAGTATTCAATTTCATATGAGGTTATTATAATAAAATTTAAAACTTAGTGTTTCAAATTCATAGACAGATTCATTAGTCAAGAATGACAGATTGCAACAACTGACATTTCACATTCTAGTGTGTGGGCTGGGTGGATGTCACATGATTTTCTACTGTTGGAATTTCCAGCACATGTGTGTTATACAGAATGCCAGTTTCTCGCTAGATTGTGAACTCTTTAGTGGTCTCCTGAGGACAGGACTTGTGTTCTTATCCACCATCCACTTATTGATCATTCATTCAATAAATATTTACCAAATGCCTATAACATGACAGATGGTCAGCTAGGTACCAGGGATACAAGAAGTAACCCAGGGATTATGAAGGCAATATTCTGGTGAATAAATGATACACAAAGTTAAAGTTAAATAAATGATACACAAATAACTAAATATTTCCAATTGCAGTGTTATGAAAATTTACTTCCAATCTCATTAAATGTAACACAAGGAATGAAAC